AAGTATTATAAAAGTGACTTCAAAATACCATTATGGGCTATACCTCGGCATGCCATAGAAGGTATAAGGAAAGGGGTAAATATGGACAAGGTCTCTTACGTACAGTTATTAAGATGGGATGGCCAAGACTGGCAGTTAAAATCTTTGGAAGAATTAACACATGAAAACTTAACTTATTCATGGTTCCAATATAGACCAATAGTGGATAGATGGAAGATGGATTGTAAAATGGGCTGGCTTAGAGAAGATGGAATTTTTTTAAAACAAGTAAGAGATCAAAGGCCAACCCATATTAAGAGAGTTTATGGGGTTTTAGTGGAATTAGATTCAGAACTTGAACTAGTTAAAGATTGTATGATTAAATGGGCACAGAATATTGGTGAAACGATTTCAATGGATACTTGGGAACTTATTTGGATAAGAAATGTTAAATTCACACAAGCGCAAAATTTAAGAGAGAATTTTTATAAGATGTTTTATAGATGGCACCTTGACCCAAAGAAAATGTCCATTATGTACCCTAATCTACAGCCGAAATGCTGGAGATGTGGATATTTGGATGCTACCTATTACCATATTTGGTGGACGTGTAAGCATATAAAAGCTTTTTGGATTAAGATATGGTGGAATATTCAAAGAATTTTTAAAAGAAGGGTAAAATTTACTCCGCAATTATTTTTATTGGGTATTGTTATTGACTGTGATGCTAAGGAGGTTATATTGATGTTAAATTTGATTACAGCCGCTAGGTTGTTAATAGGACAATATTGGAAGAAGGAATCTTTGCCTACTTTACAAGAATGGTTTCATAAAGTTTCGTATTTGGCAGAAATGGCAAAGATTTCGGCTTTCTTAAAGGAGCAATCTCAAGAAAAATTTTTTGCGGTATGGGAAAAATGGATAAATTTTATACAACATAATTTGGATATGGAAAAATATTATTTAGCCTTTTTATAATTTGTAATGATTGTTTTTTCTTTCTTTCTTTCTTCTTTTTCTTTTTTATATATATACATTTTTAATGTATTATTATTCATATATTTTTTTTTTTTTTATATATATATATGCTTTATTTTTCGTCTACTTTCTTCTTTCTTCTTTCTCTCTCTCTCTTCTCTTTTTATTTTTTATTTTTTTTCTTTTTTAGTATATATTATTCATTTTAAAGTTTATGTTATGTATATTATTTCTATATATATTATTACTGTGATTTTTATTATTATTATTAATTATTTTATAAATTGCAAATGTTATTTTTAAAATATTTGTTAAATAATCCTATATTCAGTTCTGGGAAGTCGGGGGGGGGGTGGGGTGGTTGGGGAGGGGGGGGTGGATTTTTATTTGTAAAACTTTTGAAAAATTTCAATAAAAAAAAAAAAAAAAAAAAAAAAAGTTGCTCTAAGGGGAGACACCATCAGAGGTTGTTGTCCTCTCTAGTGAGCCTGCATTCCTGGTGGTTGCTAGACTCCCAACTGTGCTGTAAGATCCTCAAGAGTTGCTGACCTCCCCATGGTGGCTGTGGCATTATCAGTTGCTGCACGCCCCCCAGTGGTTGTAATATGTTCGGGGGCTGTGGCCATCCCCACTGCTGTTGCTGCCCTGCCAGCAGTTGCTGGCCCCCTGACGGCTGTGGCATCCCCAATTGCTGTAGGACCTCCAGTGGCCTCAGCGGCTGCTGATGTAACACCTCCAATTGCTACAGGCCTCTCAGTGGTTGCTCACATTTGGGGGCTGTTGCCACCCCCACTTCTGCTTACCTCCTGGTGGCTGTGGCATCCCTGGCTATGGCAGGCTCCCCTGGGGCCCCAGAGGTAGTTGTTGTGGCATCCCCAGTGGTTGCAGGCCCCTCAGCAGTTGCTGCACATTCAGAGGTGGCTGTCAGCCCCACTGCTGTTGCTGTGTTCCCAACTGCTGCATACCTCTTGGTGGCTGTATCATGCCCGGTTGCAGCAAAGACTCCAGCTGCTGTTGCACATTCAGGGGCTGCGGCCACCCCCACTGCTGTTGCTGCACTCCCAGTGGCTGTTGGCCTCCCCACTGTGGAGGATGTGGCATCCCCATTGCTGTGGAGACTTGGGGCTGGGTGGTTGGTAGGTGCACTGTTCTGGGCTTCTGCTGTTCCAGTGGCAGCTTGGACTCTTGTCTTGCCGATGACGTTCTGGGCTTCTAGATGGGTGATAGTGCTCCGGGCTGCCATGTCCAGAGCAGCTGCTGGGGCTGTCCCTCTCTGCAGGGCTGGAGGTTAATGTAGGTGGCTTTGTGTAAGGGGAAGCCACTAGCTCTGCACAAATGGGACTGAGGCTTCCCTTCAGCATAAGTTGGTGACTGCTTCATTGATCATCATGATTGCATACGTATGGAGAATGGAAGGGTTGTTCTCCACTTCTCATCTCTAGCTCCTCAAATATTTCCACTAACTTCTCTACTGATTGACTATGGACTGCAGACAGGTACTTCCACTCACCAGAGTCCTCAGTGGTGGTCAATTTTGCAGCTCTCCTTTGGTCCGGGGAAGGTGACTTATGAGAAACCCCTCTTTGCAGCTCGACCTCATCTGCTTTTGAAGCACTTGACTGTGGCAGAGCTATCTTGAGGTGTCTGGAGTCTCCACTGGGCAGGGTGCAGTCCGACAACCAGATCAGTTGTCCTCACAGCTTAGGTCTTGCCCCCATCTGGGAGACCTGAAAAGATTCCTTTTCCACCAGTGTGCTGGCCTGCACTCCCTCCTTTGAGGCAGCATCCATGGCCTTCCTTTTCCATGTTGAGATCTTCCTCGAATCTTTGTCAGTCTATCCCTCAACTTTATGGACAGCAACTGGAACTTGAGACCCCAGGATGGATAGGTAATATTTGGAGTTTTGGGTTAATGTCATGGTTCCGACAGATGAAACCCTTCAAAAGAACTTCAAGGCATTGTTTTCCTTAAAGAATCTTTTATTTGAGAAACAAAGTATCAGCTCTACATAGTTGAACCCAAAACTAAATTCCCCTCTCCTGGATACAAAGTTTCAAAGTATAATTCCCATCCTCAATAACTTGTCATAAAGCACATTCTCCAATTAGCTTATAGTACGGGCTTTCTCCCCAGCTCTCCAGCCCACCAAAACATTATCAGCTCCGGACCCAGTTTGTCCTTGAGTTCCTACAGCAAAGATATTATTATGGCTAACTGAGCTTGCATCCCAATCCTCCCTCCCTGCACCAACTAATTCTAAAAGCAAGAAAAAGTAAAAAGAGAAAATGGCTGCTTTCTCATCCGTTGTCAAAGCAAGAACATCTGATGTTAGCAGCGTTGACAAGGGGTGAGCAATTAATTTTCTCAAGGGACCCCATGGGAAACTGGGACTGTTGTGGAGGACCATATTGCTCCCACCACCACTGCCACCCACTGGCACCACCACTCCCCCAGCACTGCCACCACCATGGGCCAGACAGGGACAGTCAAAGGGCCAGATGTGGCCCACAGGCTGTAAAATACCCAGTTCTGAATTAAATATTTAATCTGTATCATTTAAATAGCCACACTGATGGCTAGATTCCAAGTAATACAGTATAATAAAGTGTACAAGAAAAAGACCCTCATTGATTGATTTGGAGATGGTACCCCATTTTGAATCAAATTATTCTCATGATGCGTGACTTCACCAACAGTTATTTCCTCACTTCTATCACTCATCAACACTTTATGTTTTTGTCTCTGTTGTAAAAAGGGAGAATTAACCTATATAGACATTCTTTCTCTGGCTGATTGGCCAGAAAAAGATGATTTCCCCTGCTTAAAATAACATGTAAGCCATTCTGCATTCACTTCAAACATTTTATTATGTATCGCCTTCTTCAAATTTAGTCAGTCCAATTGTTTTATTTATTTAATTTATTTATATCCCATCTTTATTGTTTTCCTCAATATAAAATATGCAAACTTTTAAAAAATAGAATAAAATATATCTTGGTTCCTTTTCCAGACATCAGTAACAAAATGTAATCTTTCCAGATTATGAAAAATGGAACTTTCATTATTATATATAAAACATCTATTTATGTGGGACATTTTTGTTAAAATATCATTAGAGCTCATAATGAACTTACATTGTCACAGACAGGAAAATATTCATGTTTCTGGATTTTAATGGATTTTTCCCCCTAACATAAAGGGTTTTGAATGTGCCTTTGCCTTATACATATTTTTTAAAAGTATAAATCTCTCAAAGATAACCTTTTTAATGCAAATTTTCCTGACATTCTTTTTAATGTAAATTTTTATAATGCTGGCTCTTCAAAGATATATTTACCCGGTATCAGCTTTTTCTATATAATTATCCTTTTTTATATGCAATTTTCAAATATATATATATATATATATATATATATATATATATATATATATATATATATACACCTTTTTGGGTTGCTATCTCAAAAGCTTCTTGTTAAGATATAAGGATGCTAAAACATTTCATTCAAAGCTGTACCTTTGCCATAATGAAGAAACAAATTTTCAACATGGCAGAGCTCATAAACATGCTTCCACAGAGATCTGTGGCTATTTTCCTTTTGATTTTTAGATTGGCCATAGGCCTAAATAGCATTATTTTCCTATTTTCCCCCCATCCTTCTCTTGATTTATATGAAATTTACTATATAGGAAGCTATTATTTTAAGCAATAATACATTTGATCTATAAATTCAGTTATTCATGTTCTAGTTCTCAGAAGTGCTTGACTATGATTTTCTCAATATTGTATTTATAAAATTTATATTTTCATCCTATGATGTAGACATTAACTGCAATAGATGACTGAAGAGCTGTCATATATTGCCAGCTTTCAACATAGACTTTTTAATTTAATGTCTTTCTTTGTTTTAATGAAACCAGTAGCCTGGAGATATTATTGAAATTAATGCAAATATTCAGTATAAAATACCATATTTTAGATCCATATAGTTTTTGCTATATTCTGCCTAAGGCATTTTCTTTTCTTATTTGTCTCACACAGATAATGGAATTTCAAGGCCAATGCACACATTATACCCGCAATATGGATGATTCACCACCTGGTGACAGGTACTTTAAATGGCTGATATGATAATAGGAATTGTTGTATTGATTGACAGAATTGACAGCCTATAGAGAAAGAAAAAATGAAGTTCCCAGTACTGAAGATATAAAAATTTAAACTATATTTTAAATTTCTTTCTAATGAGTAGATTTTACTCTGATTTGAAATTTAATAGCATGTTGCCCTTGAAATAATAATATTTTATTATAATGTTGTAAATCATGATATGTGTTTTATTTCAATACATATTTCAATGTAATAAAGTTTTTATAATATTAAAATTATTACATTTATTATTTAAAAAAGACCACAAGATTGAAAATAAAAAATAAAAATGTGTCACTAACAATTGCTATTAGGGATACCAGTATTACAAATATATGATTATTTATTTTTCCATCCAAAGTTGATTAAGGCATAACAAAGAACCTACCACTGCAATATACTTTAAAATATTAGTTTTGTGATTATAAACTTTTCATTTTTCTCTGTAAAAATAATGCAATTAACAAAAAGCACACATTTTCTTTAGGAATCTTATTTTGTTTTCATGACAGTTAAACCTATCTCTCTGAGACTGAATAGAGATAGATGATAGATAGAAGATACATGGATGGAAAGATAGACAGACAGACAGATGATGGGTGGATGGGTGGGTGAGTGGGTGAATGGATGGATAGATAGAGATTAAAATGTCAAAACAGTATGTTAACTTTTTTCTTAACAGTATGTTAAGCTAAACAGTATGTTAAGCTGTTGGTAATAATTTCTGAAAATCATTTCTGTGTTTTGTTTTTACTTAAGTTTTTTATTTGTATTAATAACCATCAAATACAATATGGCAAACATGAAGAAGATTCCTCAAAATTAAACTAAAAATATTTTGCTGAAGGTTATAATCAATGCATTTGGAAATCAGTATCTTCAAACTGTTTACTCAAACACTGAGTGTTGCAGAACTATGACATAACATTGTACTTCAGATTAAACACTTGCATATCAAGTACCCTTTTTGTCAATTATATACATTTTTTATTATATGCTACATAGAAGCACATCTAAGAAAAGGCTTAATAAATCTTAAGTGTCTCAATTCAGAAAATCCAAATAGTTCCATCTCAATGTTTCAAACTGAAAAATTGAAACAGGACTTACTCAGCTTCATTAGCCACCAAGGCCCACCAATAAGTGTCTCTGCAGCACATATGCAGAAATCCCTTTTACTGGACTGACGTGAGGTAGCCATTATTATTTGGCACTTGCCTAGGAAGTATCATTTCAACATTATCAATTCAAAGTACCTCTTGAAAGCTCTACATTGCCCAAGAATAAATTCACCATAAAATCTGAATAAATGGTGAACAATAGAACTAGATTTGGCTCTATATTTAACTTACATTCACACAAAAGAGTACTTTATAGCCATCAGCTGTTTCTCAACTATTTTTGGTCCTATATCACCTTCTAGGATCCATCAGTTTTTTCCCAGTGTTTCACCTAGAGTTACTTATTACAAATGCAGTTTTTGGGAAGAACTGCATTGACAACAATATGTTATCAAGCTAAGCAAGTAATCCTCCTGAATTTTGTTCCTTTACATTATATATTAGTATATTTAAATTTAAAATATGACATACAAAGGATTATACTTTTATTGTTTCATTCTATTTTCAAAATAAGCATTTTCATTTTTTTAATATCTGGAATTAAAGTTTATTAATTATCAAAAAATGCAGTATACTGGATGTGAAAATAAAATAATACAGTCTGGATTGAATATTTTCATTCACTGCTATATTTCAATCACTTTCACTTATTTAAGATTATATAAATAACTATAAGCAAGTTTTATTGTTTTATGGTTATATAGTACTGTTGCAACAATTGATCATAACATATAGTGTTCCATAAAATACAAATCTCTGACTTATTGGTCTTATTAGTAAAATAACTGCTTTCTTATTAAAGCTGTGAAGTATACATTTAGAGGTGAGAGCAGTTGGAAAATTCCTATGGATAATCTATGGTTAAGCTGAACCAGGCATATTCCCAACAGTTCCTGCATTGGAGAAAACACATAGTTAGCAAAATCTATAGCTTGTTGCTTAATTATTGACCAAAAATCAAAATAGTGATTTTTGGCAAAATAGATACAAAGGCAGGCAGGAAAAAGCATGATGTGTCGGGCCTACCCTAAGAATGATGTAGGACAGGGTTGTCAAACTGCCGGCCCATGGGCCAGATGTGTCATGCAAAAGCCGCACCCACCCCAAGGGGAAAAAAGTCGTGATACATTGTGACATATCACGTGACACGGAGAGTTTGACACCCCTGATGTAATATAATTCAGCTATTTCTTCATTTGCATATGCCATATGTCAACTCATTTTTTTGCATCTGTATTTACATAAAGGGAGAAAACAATCCAACCTATCAAAAACAGTACTGTAAAAAACAGATTAGAAACACAAGTTAAGATAGGAAAGAAAATGTTAAGTGAGCACCTGTCCATCCTAGATGAGTTCAAATCACCAGGACCAGATGGACTATACCCCAAGGTTCTGAAGGAACTGGCAGATGTGATCTCAGAACCACTGAACTATATCTTTCAAAGATCCTGGAGCACTGGGGAAATGTCAGGGCACACTTCAAAACCTCATCCTAAGAAAGCAGAACTCATGCAAACAGTTTCTTCCAAAAGGAACTTTTATTAGGAGAAGCTGACAGCAGGCATAATAGACAGAATCTGAGGTTTTCCCACTCGGATCAATAGGTTAAAAGTGTCCCAAGCAAAACCCCACCAGGTGATTTCAAATGGGCCAATACCCAGGTGTTAACTCTGTTGTGGGGAAGAGTAGATAACGCTGAGCTGTCTCAGAGCTTCAGCGATGTTTTGTTGGCTCTTCACACATTCCCTTCTGAATATAGAGATAAACCATTTGCCAGAGGCACATTCCTTTAAATAAAGCAATAGCCCGCAGTGCTTTCCCCCCTCCCCTCCAGGAGCATGAAAGAATCCAGAAGTATAGAGAGAACAGAGTTGGAGTTTAAAGCAAGAAAGGGGCCCCCTTAGAATATGGATTCTGACAGGACCTACCAGAGGACTGGAAAAGAGCTGATGTAGTTCCCATCTTCAAAAGAGGGAAAAAATGGATCCAGGAAATTACAGACCTATCAGCCTGACCTCAATACCTGGGAAGATCTTGGAAAAGATAATCAAACAACGAATCAGCGAACACCTACAGGCAAACAAAGTCATTACTAAAAGCCAACACGGGTTTGTCAAAAACAGATCATGCCAGACAAATCTTATTGCATTCTTTGAACAAGTGACAAAATTAGTGGACTAGAGGAATGCTGTGGATATAATTTACTTGGACTTCAGTAAGGCATTCGACAAGTAGACCAGAACCTACTACTTGAGAAGATAGAAAATGCGGGTTAGACAGCAATCACTCCCAGATGCATCTGTAGCTGGCTGACGGGCTGTACTCAGCATGTGGTTCTCAATGGAACCACTTCTACATTGAGGGAAGTGTGTAGTGGGGTGCCCCAGTGCTCCGTTTTGGGCCCAGTGCTCTTCAACATCTTCATCAATGATTTGAATGGGGGGATAGAAGGGGAACTCATCAAATTTGCAGACGACACCAAGCTGGCAGGAATAGCCAACATTCAAGAAGATACAGAAGGATCTTGACAGATTTGAACATTGGGTGCTAGCTAACAAAATGAAATTCAGTGGTGAAAAAAGTAAGGTTCTACATTTAGGCAAGAAAAACTAAATGCACAGGTATAGTATAGCAACTGTGAGAGGGATCTTGGAGTCTTAGTGGACAATCACTTAAATATGAGCCAGCAGTGTACTGCAGCTGCCAAAAAAGCTAGGCTAGTGCTAGGCTGCATCAACAGAGGGATATTGGAATTGGGAATGTCTAGTTTAATGAAGAGAAGGACGAGGAGTGACATGATAGCAGTGTCCTAATATCTCAGCAACAGATGGAAACTAATCAAGGAGAGAAGCAACATAGAACTAAGGACAAATTTTCTGACAGTTAGAACAATTAATCAGTGGAACAGCCTGCCTCTAGAAGCTGTGAATGCTCCAACACTAGAAGTTTTTAAGAAGAGACTAGACAGCCATTTGTCTGAAATGGTATAGGGTTTCCTACCTGAGCAGGGGGTTGGATTAGATTACCTCCAAGGTCCCTTCCAACGTTATTATTGTTATTGTTATTGTTATCATTGTCATTATCGTTGTCTTTGTTTTTGTTTTTGTTGTTTAGACAGATTCATGCCAGACTAAACCTATTCTACTCTAACCTAATGGGAATATCCTAGAAGATTGTAGGGAATGTCCATCTTAAAGCTCTTCCTCTTTTCATGATCTAACCCTGGACTGTGCTGTTGCTTTTCTATCTCTCTCGTCCTTGGAATATGCTCTCTCCATTCTGGGAATTTTGCATTACTATAATCAATCAATCACCCCCCCTTCATACCATGTTTTCCCCAAAATAAGACCCACCCCCAAAATAAGCCCTAGCCTGATTTTTTTGGGGTGGGTCTAATATAAGCCCTACCCCAAAAATAAGCCCAGGATGATGAGTGTGGCCAGCACAAGAGGCAGTGAGTGTGTGTGGAATGGTGTCCGGCAGCAGCTGCAGCCCTTGGCCCCTTGGCACAGTGCAATTAAGTCTGAGCAAAGAGGCAGAGGCAGGAGAGAGGGAGGTGATCTATACATACTGTGTGGCTGCCTAGGTCAAGGGAGGCTTGTGGAAGGCTTGTGCGCCAGCACCAGCAGCGGGTGGAGGTAGAGGCATGGGGGAAGACAGGCAATCCTGATGCACCATGCAGTTGCCTGCCCTGGCATGGCCACGGGCAAGCTGAGAGATAGTGGGATGGAGTGGGTGGCACGTCAGGATAGCCTGCTTTCCCCCATGCCTCTGCCTCTGCCTGCTGCCAGTACTGCCATGCAAACCTCCTGCAAGCCAGGTGGGCACGTAGCACATCCGTATTGCCTGCCTCTGCCTTCACCTCTGCCTGGCTCCACTGTGCACTTTTTGCCCAGAGGGAGACTGGAAGCTTCATGTGGTTGCAAATGGAGTGCTTTGAAATGGAGCTAATCACTCTATTACAATGTGCCCATTTGCAAGTAGACAAAGCTTCCAGTCTCTGTCATTTCTCCATCTGAGTAAAAAGTGTGTGTGCCCTGGGAAGCTCTGTAAGCCATTGCAACTGCAGGCAAGCAGATGGTGAGAGGTAGCAGGCAGGCAGTCACAAAATATGACATCTCCTGAAAATAAGACCTAATGGGTCTTTTCGTTAAAAAAAAATATAAGACCCAATCTTATTTTCAGGAAAACAGGGTAGACACATTCCTCTACCTGACAGAGGACAGTGAAGAAAGAGATGAATAATTTTTCACTTAGAACAGTACTAACCTAACAAACTCTGTTCTCTGATCTTAAGCAGTTGATTAGTGTGATGGAGTGTAGTAAGGAAGAAGAGTCCTAGTAGGGAGGGGATATATTCCAAAGGAGTATGAGACAACTCAATTTGCATGTTACATGTGAGAGAAAGAAGGTAAAGATAGCTCCTCCCTAACAGTTTATGCAAAATTATACAGATAGCTAACTATCTACTACAGTAGATTCTTCAGTATGACATGAGTTTGTCAGTACCTTTCCACATGCTTGATGTGCTGCCTGAAATTGACAAGATGTTAATCAATTACACACTGAAGGTTTTTGCTTCCTAACCAGCTAAATTTTTAGGCATATTTTTTCCCAGCTAAAAGTGAGGCATGTGGATGTTTATGTAGGTGCATGGACACAGAAACATTATATTCATACAAAATATAAACAATTTAATGGAGTAAATTAACAGGTAGTTCACTAATCTCCAGATGTAATTGGCATTGGCCATTCAAAGACTATATTGAACAACCTGAAAGGTTAATGGAATAAGGCATGATAATGGACTCTTTATATTATTATCAAGCCTTCTTTTCATAAGATGTGGCTGTGCAATTAAATGTGTTTTCTCAAAGGACTGAAACAAATGGGGATTAATAGCCTTTAATTGTTTGAAACTGTGATAAATACTTAATGCAAACAGACAGATTTGTAGGAACATATGGAATCAACAAATGATTTCAATGTGTTGGGGGAATAGAAGTTGATTTAGAATACTACTTTTATCACTGTCTCTGTAATTACATTCTAGGATATTACCAAATGTGGAATGTTCACTTTTTGAAGTCTGCAGTCAAATCCCAGCCATGAAAATAGTTTTTAAATGTTTAAAGGCAACAAAATGTATTTTCCTTTAATTTCCATGAATGATTGCTTGGGGACTTTTTTACATTTCTTTCACTTGCTTGTATCTTTATTTCTTGTTTCTATTTCTTTCTCTTTATATTAGACAGTGGAAGACATCTGGAGCTTCTTTCATTCTTGTTCAGCAAATGCCTTTACAATGTTAAGCAAAATAACTGGGCTTTGCCTGTAACAGCTTCTTTATTTGAATTAAACTCACAACTGTTGAGCCATAAGGTAATAAATTGACATGAGGTTTCTTTATTTTCTGACTTATTGAAGTAGTAAATCTTTAATTGTATGATTTTCTTTAGCAAGTGAGGGCTACCTTTCTTAAATTACCACTCCCTAAGTGAAAGTAATCCTGTGTAGGGGATTGAAGTAGGATTAATTTCCTTATGAGTCAACAGTCATGTTACAAGGATATATGGCCCACCTCTCTCTATGATTTGGTATCCCCTGTGGCCACCCTCCCAACATTTGCTCATTCCATTTTTTATATAAAAGAGTACTTACCTACCCATGCCTGGGTTTCCATGGCAGATCAAGACTTCTAGTTTTATAAGGTTTCTAGCCTGTTATATGGCCCACATTTATCTCTGTAGTTCCAGGTTGCTTTGGGAGTTTAGAGAGTCAGGATGATGTACCTCTCTTTTCAGAGTACTTGCAGAGTATGTGCTAGAAATATTAAAAAAGGGAGAGATCTAATTTTCAATTAAGAATAGAAAGACATACCAGACTGCCATTCCGATATTATTAAAGCCATGTAACATATATACCTATATTTATGTTCATATTTATATTTATCTTCATTTAATAGTTCTACATGGTAATATTTACAAAAAATTGTAATAAAATACTTCTGTTATTTTCACCAGTTAGCTTAGTGAATTTACAACTGATAGTTATCACCTAAAGACTTATTTTTGGGGGCTTGTGAACAGATAAAAATGGAAAGTATGATGAAAAAATAAAGATATGATTAGTCCTAGGAAGACAACAAAGACAAACTTGACGAGATAATGAAGAACAAGGACAATTGACAGCAAAACCTTGTGTCTTAACTGACTGAATAATGAAATCAAATGAACTAATATCAGAAATGCAGCTTTGTCCCAATATGAATTGAAAGAATTTTTCTAACTATATTATATACACAATTTAAAAACAAAAATAGATTTCTATTGGGAATTCAACATATAAGATGAGAGTATTGATAGTATTATAATGGGACTCATTAAATGTATCTAAAATATAGGATTCATTCTTGTTTCCAGCCCAATTACCTTTCAGTTTCAACATGCCATTTTCTTTTATTAATGTTGTATAATTTAAGAGCAATAAATCTTTCCTATAAATAACTTGCTGAGAAACTGAACGAAGTGCAAGAAACTTTCAATCTTATAATCCAATTCAATTACTGTTCATTCAAACAATCTTGGATTCAATATATCTTTCATAATTACATAGCCAAACAAAAATAGCCCTACAAGTAGGCAATTTTTTCACCTTATGATTGCTCCATCAGATGATATGCACGCAGGCATATTGAGACCAATTCTTTGATTATAGCTATTTGCTCTATTTTCAAAGCTTTGAATCAGGATTGATGCTTCGGTAGCCCCCAAAAATGCTGCCTATTCAGAACAATGTTATTACAGATTAAGGAATATATATAAAAGCACAATTTATTCTTTCAAAGTCTCCAAGCCAAGAAAGAAGTAACAGGGAAGAATCAAAGGGCAATTCTATGGAGGTGAGAACTATTAAATAATTGAATGAATTTGCACCAAAAAAAAAAAAAAAAGAAGGGGAGGGATGTCAATGTAAGCTATCAACATACATGGACTATTTCCAAGATATTTAGAAGCGTGCATATGTGCACATGCATGCACACATATTTGTGTGTATTTTTCCCCAACAATGTACTGCTCCAATGAGGACTGTTCAGGTTCAGTGGGTCTGTATAAATTGGAGGAAAGGAAATGGAAAACTGAATATGCAATTTGATTCTCCTGCCATCTTGGGAACTGTGAATACAATAAGCTTGTGCCAAATTATCATTTGAAGGGAACACATGTCCATTCTTTCTGTTGTACTGATGTTACATTTTCTCCAAAAAAATAAATGGAGAGATTTCACCACATACAAAAACTCTCATGATAGGAATGGAAGTTCAGAATGGAGGAGCAATAAATTTCTGGAAGGGCTACTGTGACACCTCTACAATCTATGAACTATGGGTAAATCAACACATCATTTTCATGTTGCTTAACTGCCTTTGTCATCTTGCAGAGCAGCTAATAATTAGTTATCTTTTATATCAATGGCTACATTGCTGCTACTAATGGAAGAAAGTGGTAACATGTTTTTGAAAATTTATTTATTATAGCTGAAAAATGGCAAGGCATTTCAGCATCTCTCTTCCATGTTTTGCAATGGAACTTCATGTTCCAGAATCTAGAAATAGCAGGTTTTGTCATTTGCTAATGTGAAAAAGGCTAATTTGTTAATGAATACAAAAGTACTAATTTAAAGTACAGGTAATCCTCAATTTATGACCACAATTGAGCCCCAAAATTATGTTGCTAAGTGAGACATTTGTTAAGTGAGTTTTGCCCAATTTTATGACTTTTCTCGCTAAGTTGTTAAGTGAATCATTACAGCTGTTAAGTTAGTAACCTGATTGTTAAGTGAACCTGGCTTCCCCATTGACTTTGCTTGTCAGAAGGTCACAAAAGTTGATCACATAACCCTGGGACACTGCAACGGACATAAATAGAAGCCAGTTGCCAAGCGTCTGAATTTTGATCACATGGCCATGGGGATGATACAACAGTTGTAAGTGTGAAAAACAGTCATAAGTCACTTAATGCTGTTGTAACTTTAAACAGTTACTAAAGGAACTGTTGTAAGTCGGTTACAAACTGTTGATTACCTGTACAGTCCCCTAAGTCTACCTCTTGAATGTACCTTCTCCCAAAGTCAAATGCAGAAGAAAAGGTCTATTATTGTATTTTTCCTAAGCACTTTTGGTTGAAATAAGTTCCTAGTTTTCTAAGTGGTCTGTACTGAATGTTTTGATATGTTAACTATGGGAGTGAAAAGGGTTCATAATTCAGGAGTTATGATTTTGGGTCTATGAGGTTATTATGAAAACTGGCATCCATGAAAGAATGTTTCTATTGTAGATTTAAAAAAGAAGTTTAAGGGAACAGTTTATTGAAAAGTAAAGAAGGAAAGACATGGGAAATCAGAAAGCCACCTGATATCACAAGTGAAATAGGATTAGAGAAGCCACATTAAGCACAATAACTGTGCATCTCTGTATCTGAAATCTTGGACAGAGTGAAGATTTAAGTAAACTGTTACTAAAAGTAAAGTTTGACCATAGAAGTTTTAATCTGATATGCTGTTTTCTATTTCATAGAACATCTGTCTGGCCATCATAATTATACTGAAATATGATTTAGTCAAATAACAAATAAAAACAAGATGCAAAAAGACTTTTGCATTACCTTTCAATTCTTTTTCAGCGAAAGCATCAATAATTTCTTCTGAAGGAACATATTGCATTTGTGTTTATAGGTGCACTGAGAAATGCAGTGCAAATAATTTATTCTATTTGAAATCAATAATGTAACTGATTTAATTTGGATTTCCAAATTGTTTTGGAAAAAGTTAGGTGCCTCCAAATTACTTAAGGGAGGTACCTGATTTAATTAAAAAAAATAATTCAGCTTATTTCGGAAGTTGACTCAATTAGGAAATTCAAATTGCTTTTGATTCAGATCAATCAAGATTTTACAGACCTAACGTCATTGAATGAAATGAAGTGTTAAAAACAAAAGCAAAGCAAAGAAGCAAAACAAGGCAGTTGTTCATTTGCTTGGTAATTCAGGAGAAAAACTGTAACTTACATTAATTCTTGCATCTGACATACATAAACAGTATGAGAAGGTAGGATAGACAAAATGTATTGGCCTATATATATATATATATAAATTAAAAGTATTATAAAATAGACCTAGAGTATAACTGATTATACTAAATATATATTACAAACCATTTTTGTTGATTTATTTAAACATTTTTAACCATAGATTTATTAATACTTATATTCTAGAGTGTACACTGCAAGGCATCTTTTGTTTTTAGTTTTTAATCTTATTCTGGTCTTAAATAATCTCCTTAAAACAATGTAAGAGAAAAAGAGTAAAAAAAATCATTCCTTTGGAGCACATTTATTATAATTAAGATGGTATAGTTGGTGACAATTTTCTTAATTTCCCGTAAAATTGAGCAGTACTCACCTATCACATAAAAATTTGGAGGGTGGAACTAGAAGGGGAAAATTACCATCCACCTCCTATGGTGGTGCCATATTTTATTTATTATTGTCTTTAGTTATATTGAATTGCAACAAAGACAAAATTTCCAAAGATCCCTAAGGTGGTGGCAGTAGATTCATCCCCCTGAAATCTAATTTTCCTACTCTCCAAAATGTGTAATAAATGTATAAAAATATAATACACTTTAAATAAACATAGGGACATTGTATTTTTAGCTATAATAAGTAAAGCTTACTAATGTTTTTTTAAAAATAATATAAATGGTATGCAATTCATCCCTCATTTTTTGCCAATGGATAAATGGTTACAACACCTCACATTTCACAAAATTGCTGCAACAGTTGTACTGAAGATTTTTCCATCTCTCTTCCTCCAGGGACTTTCCCCAAAGATTACTGGGCATGGTGTCTGTCTCTTTGTCTGTACACACTACACACACATACACACACATACACATAAATACCGGATCCCATGTACTAAAATAGTACTATGCTCTAAATCCTATATTCTGGAAGGACTAGGCTAGAAACTTTTAAGAAATCTTTAAGATTTAAGATCTAGTTGCATCTTATGAATGAAAGCCGAGTAGAAGCCAGTCAATCTTTCTCAGCCCAAGACAATTTACAGGGTTGTTATTGACCGAAAAATAGGGGGAGGAAGAATCATCAGTTACGTTCACCACCCTGAGTTATCCAATAAAATGAAACTATACCTAAACCTAAATATGTATACATTCTGAATAAGTTATATAAGGAACATATACCTTAGATATTAAAAAGCATTTGTCTTTAGTGATCCATTGGTTGCTTTAATCCATAAGTTTGCTTTAGACAGATTTTTTTTAATTAGGAGACCCAAAGTGCTAAGTGTTTCTAATTCTCTTTTTCATTAGCCAATTTTTTTAAAAAAAAAATTACGTTCAAGAGTGTTCTTTTTTAAACATAAGAAACATTTTTAAAAATTGTTTTCTTAAATCAAAGTTAAAT